CTGTCTTCCAAAATAGCTATACCATTTTTCATTCCCACCAGCAATGTACGAAAGTTCCAGTTGTTCTGCCTTGCTAACACTTGTATTGCCAGTTTTGTTTTGACATTCTAATAGGTGTATAGTGGTATCTCACTGTGATTTTTTAAAATTTTTTTTTAGAGCGTTTTTAGGTTCACAGCAAAACTGAATGGAAAGTACAGAGATTTCCCATATATCCCTTGCCCCCACACACACACAACCTCCCCCACTGTCAACATCCTGAATGAGATTGGTACATTTGTTACAAGCATCATTGTGGTTTTAATTTTCATTTCTCTAATGTGGTTTTAATTTGCATCTGCCTAATTTGCATTTCCTTTATTTGCTATTTGTATATCTTCTAGGTGAAGTGTCTCTTCAGATCTTTTGCCCATTGTTATTGGGTTGTTTATTTTCTTATTGTTGAATTTTGAGGGTTGTAAAATTTTATTCTGGATACAATTTTTTGTCAGAAATGTAATTTGCAAATATTTTCTCCCAGTCTGTGACTTGTCTTTTCATTTTCTTTCGCAGAACAAAAGTTTTTAATTTTAATAAAGTCTAATGTATCCATTTTTTCATTTATGGATTGTGCTTTTGGGATAATATAAATTTCTAATCACATTTCTTTGTATAGAGTAACATTTATCCTAACTAGCAGCCTCGGCCACAAAGCTGAGAACAAATAAACAAAAACTGCCACCAATATTGTTTAATGAGTACAGATTATCAGTTTGGGAAGATGAAAAAAAGTTCTGGAGATGGATGGTGGTGATGGTTGCATAGCAATGTGAATGTACTTAATGCCACTAAAGTATACACTTAAAAATGGTTAAAATGGTAAGTTTGTTATATAATTTTACACAACAAAAAGAAAAAACTGCCATTGAGCAACAATACGTCAGGGAAGTCTACGTTCAAAAGCTCACGCACACTATTTGTTAGAACACTTCAGGCAGTGGTGACACCAAGACAATGGAGCCAAAGCTTCACTTTGGATCCATGGATGATAAATGAGGGTCCATTTCCAAGATGAGAGGTAGCCAACCAAAAGGGACCATGCCCAGCACTTTATAGAAAGGTTGTCTCATTTAGTCCTCATATTCATCTTATGAGGAAGATACTATACTATCCTTCTTTCACAATTAAGGGAACTAAGGCTTAGAGGGCAAAGTTGCCTGTTCAAGGTCATGCTTGAGTCAGTAAATCAAGGAGTGAAGATGAGAGGAAGCCACCAGACAATTTGACCCCAGAGCTCTCACTCTGGACCATGCCCCTGTACTGTCTCCAAATCTGTGAAGAAAAACTCTGTCTTCATTCAACTTTTATTTTGAGAAATTTAAAAGTTTTTGGAAACTACAAATAATTTAACAAACATTCTTTGGGGATTGTTAAATGTAGTTTCACCCGATTGGTTTCCTACAGTACACTGTACAAAGATAAGCTACAAGTTATCTTTTACATCGTAGCAGAGTAGGTAACAGCTCTACATCTGAAGTCAAATGGCCTGGTGTCAAATCCTGGCTCTGGCTTTGTGCTTAAATAACTTATGCATTTTAGTTCATGTAAATAAAATTTCCAATTTGGGGTGATGAAATCATATAGCACTAGAAGCTTGTTCACTCAAAATGTGTTGCTTATCCTACCTTGAAGCTCCAAAATATAGGTAAGCTTCACTGATATTGTGAAGACCCAGTAATACTTAGAACATTTTGAATCTCTATAAAAGTTAGCTATTATTGTTTATAAAAAGAGTTACCTTGGACAAAATCACTTCATCTATAAAATAGGAAGTATTTAAGAACAATGGCTCTGGAATCAGGCTACCTTGGTTTGAATCCTGGCTCTGCCACTTGCTGAATTTAAAGCCCTAGGCCTGTTACTTTGTCTCTTTATTTTATTTTTTTTTTTAAGATTTTATTTATTTTTTTGCCCCCAAAGCCCCAGTAGATAGTTGTATGTCGCAGCTGCACACCCTTCTAGTTGCTGTATGTGGGACTCGGCCTCAGGATGGACAGAGAAGTGGTGCCTCGATGCGCACCCGGGATCCGAACCCGGGCCGCCAGCATCGCAGCGCGCGCACTTAACCACCAAGCCACAGGGCCGGCCCTACTTTGTCTCTTTAAGCTTCAGTTTTCCATTGCTGAAAAATAAGAATAATTATAGCATTGCTGTGAGGATAAAATGAGATAATCTATTCAAATCGCTTAGTAAAGTCCATACACAGTAAGCCATTAATGCACATGAACTGCTATTGTCTTTTATTAGCAATATTAAAATGTGTGAGTAGCATTAGGAATCAAATCATAGAAAGGGCATTTTGCAAATCTGCAGAGACAGCAAAACTCTAAATAATCAATCCTTAGAGAACTGTAACTTGTCTCATCTGGTGCTCATAAACATTGACCACTCCATCAAAAGCTACCCTCTGTCAGTCCCTCTGTATCACAATCTTCTTGTTTTATATTTTATCATACCATTTATCACTACTTGATACCTACTTTCTTTGTTGACTTATTTACTGTCTGTCTCCCCCTTCCAAAATGTAAGCTCCATGAGAGTAGGAAGGCATAATGGTTAAAAATACAGACTCAAGAGCCAGACTGACCGAGTTTGATTCTTATCTCTGCTGCTTGCTAGGTGTGTGACCTTGGGCATGTTATTTAAGCTCTATGCCTCAGTTTCCTGATCTGTAAAACAGGGATAGTAACATGTGTTTCACAGGTTGTTATGAGAATTTAATGACTCAATATACATAAAGCACTTAGCAAAACCTAGCACACAGAAAGCACTCAATAAATTCTAGTATTATTGACCTAGTTCACTGCTGTCATTCCAGCAGCTTGAACGGTCCTTGGCAAAGAGCAGGCACCCAATAAACATTTACTGAATAAATGAATAGTAAGAGCTTAATGCTCCAACTGGAGCCAGTCTTACAGCTCAAGAATGTGCCTAAAAGATAGAGTTGGGAACAAGGGAGAGGAACTGGGGAAAGGTACCTCCTGTGAGGTCAAAGCCTCTGTTCAGACCCTATCTTCCACCTTACGTGGAAAAGGCTGCTGGTCACTGTGGGGCACGATCTAAATTCTAGAGCTGCCTTTGTCAGCTAGGGAAGTCCCTGGGCACCACCTCCTCCCTCAGCTAACATTTAACGAGAGGTTACTATGAGTAGTACTTTGCATGGATTAACTCATTTAACCCTTACAACAACCTTGAGGTAAATACTACAGTTACTCCCATCTTACAGATGGGAATACCGAGGCACAAATAGGTTAAGTAAATTGCCCAACGTTACAAAGCTAGTAAGTAGCTGAGTCTGAATTCAAACTCAAGAAGTCTACTTCTAGCGCCCATGCTTTTAACCACTATGCATTTCAGCATAGGGTAAATGGCAGCTAGCTGTCTTTTTCATTGTGGAAACCTGACATGTTGGTATCCAGAATTCTTCTCTCTGGGGTCATTTGTTTTTCAAGAGAAGAATTCTCCAATCTCCTGCCTGGGGAGCATATTTGCAGCAAGAGGAAGGGCTGACCATTCAGTCTGCAGACTTCCACTGAATCTCCCTGTTCTCAGCCCTGTGTTTCAGGGCCCTCCACTCTGCCCATCATCTGGGAGCTCAGAGCCTTTCAGGTTCACTTAGGCCAGAGACTCTCCTCTTGGTCTCCTATCCCCCAGGGCGGGGTGGGGGGCAGGTGGGAGGATCCCATTACTGCAGCAGGAAAGGAAAGAGACCCGAGGGATCCAACCCCATTCTGTCAGTTTTTAAAACATTTCCCTTATTTTCAGCCTTTGGTCTCCTCCTCACCTTTCAGGAAAAACCATTTACCTTCCAGTTCTGAGCCTCTGATGGGTAATACGAGATAAAAGAACTCACTCCTCATTGATATCCTCCTCTGCAGGCAGGTTCCCCCACTTCCTCTGCTTCCTATCCTCCAATGAGGTTTCAAACCACTCCTCTGCTGATGTCTATCTCCTGTTTTCTTTGTCCTTCCAGGTTTAAGCCTTTTTAAATTTCACTGTTTTTTTTTTTTGGCGAGGAAGATTGGGCCTGAGCTAACATCTGTTGCCAATCTTCCTCTTCTTGCTTGAGGAAGATTGCCCCTGAGCTAACATCTGTACCAATCTTCCTCTATTTTGTATGTGAGACGCCGTCACAGCATGGCTTGACGAGCGCCTGGGATCCAAACCCACGAACACCAGGCCACCAAATCCGAGTGCACGAATTTACCACTACGCCACCAGGCCAGCCCCTTAAAATTTCTTTACTGTCATATTAGTAGAGTTTGACAAGGACAAGAGCTAAACATATGGTCAGGTGGCCATGTTTAACCCCATATACTACTTTTATAATGATATTTTTTTCAAATGAAGATTTGAAAAATAGAACATGATGCTGGTAGTGAGTGGAAATATGGGGTGAAGGGGGGGAATAAAAGGGAAAAAGAATTGAGTTATTGAGTTCCTATCATATGCCAAGCGTTTTAAAACACTTTAATCTTGGGACCAGCCCTGTGGTGTAGTAGTTGGTTGCACGTTCCGCTTCGGCGGCCTGGGGTTCGCAGGTTCAGATCCTGGGCACAGACCTACACACCGCTCATCAAGCCATGCTGTGGCAGTGTCCCATATACAAAATAGAGGGAGATTGGCACAGATGTTAGCTCAGGGCCAATCTTCCTCAGCAAAAAGAGGAAGATTGGCAACAGATGTTAGCTCAGGGCTAATCTTCCTCACCAAATAAACAAACAAACAAAAAAACACTTTAATCCTAACCACCATGGGAAATTGTTCTTTTAGAGAAGATGAAATTCAAGTTCAGAGAGGTAATGAGAGTGTCCTTGCCCAATGCCAAGAAGCTAATGAATGGTAGGGTCTGATTCTAACTCACACCTCTTAGACTCCAAAAAGTATGCTCTTTCCCCTACCTTATGTTTTCTGGAAAGAACAGTTCAGTCAAAAGATGAGCACCTGAATTAAGACAATAGTCGTTAAAGTTGGAATAGGTGGTGGGTTCAAGAAATTCTTTGGATGTACTGTAGCAGCAGTGTGGTGCTGTTCTCCAGCATAAAAAGAACACTGGCGATCAGCTTTATATAGGTATATGCAAATATTAATATTCGTACACATGGCACTTTGGTGAGAGACACAATTCAAACTTAATGTCCATCCTCACTCATCCTGAGAAGATATACAAACAGTACCCTCTCCTCCCCTTAATCGGAAACAAATACATTAAAGTTGCCAATTCTCCTACTTCCTTACCATTTTCCTAGATGTTTTTTTTTTTCTTCTACATCTTCTGGGCAGCTATTCCTTCGATCCTGGGTCCCGAAGTTCTGCAGAATCCCCTCCCTCTGGTCCCCTGCCTAGCATAAGCAAACACACTCCAGCAATGTTTCCTCTCCAAGTTATAATTACAACTAGTTGTCCTGCTCTGACCAAAACAAGTGGTGACTAGAGGTCGCCTTAACACTGCATTATCAAAAAAAGAAACATCCATTGAATGCCTAGCATATTTTTCTGCACACATACAATAGGCTCTCAATAAATATTTATTGAATGAATACCTTCAATTTAAAAATGGGTTCCCTGAACAGTTGTTTCCCAGTCAATTTTGAAGATGAAACAAGTTTTCTCATAGAAAGAACATTATACAAGTTGGCTAGGTTCACAGATTGGTCTTCAGAAGATTATTTAGACAAAAATGTAGCTAGACTATATATTAATAGTACTTTAGCACCATTACTTATGGGGAAATGCATAGTGAGTTCCAATTAGGAAATCAAGATGCCAAGGGACACATATTTCCTGTTCACATTCCCAGCTCTGGAAAAGACGTCTATGCTGCATGGAGGCAGTGGTAGGAGTAAGTGCTGCCTGTCCTCAACTCAAGGACAGGTAGCAGTAACAGGTAGAGCTCATGTCAGGTCTTTCATATATAAGAGTTATAATTAAATCAGGTATTGGTATTCTGCTTAGGAAAGCAATAAAGTACTGAATGACATACTTGATGTATTTTACAAGGTCTTTTATACAAAATCATTAATATAAAAACAGTTTTGAGTGAATGAATTCTGATGCATTGCTGATGGGAGTATAAATTAAAACAAACCCTACAGGGTTTCTAAAAGACAAGTTGGAATATTTATCAAAAGTCTTAAAATATGCATGCCCTTTAACCCAGAAATTCCACTTCTAAGAATATATCCAAAGAAGGGAAAAGTACAGACAGCTGTTCTAAGAGGTATGGCTAAAGGATGCTTATCACAACATTGTTTATATGATTGAAAAACTGGAAGCAACCTAAATATCAATATGGAATTGGTCAAATAAATTACCATATATCTATTTAAAACACATAGTTTATACTAAATGACACCAAAAGATGTCCATGATGAGTTAAGTGAAGAAAGGCTACAAAGTCTAACTGTAGACTATAGTCCTAATTTGGTAAAAACATTTTATACATTATACAGAATGTATATGTAAGAGAAAAATAGTTTTGGAAGAATTTATACCATAATCTTAACAGCAGCTAATCCCCGGATAGTGGAATTAAGGGTAATTTTTACTTTCTTCATTCATTTAGTCAGCAAATATTTATTAAAGTCCTACTATGTTTCAGGTACTATTCCAGGTGCTGGTGATACAGCAGTGAAGAACATAGACACAGTCTGTGCTCTCATGGGGCTTATACTCCCATGAGGGAGATGGACAATAAGCAAACAAAGAAATATGTAAAATCAAATCATGATAAATGTTATAAAGAAAAAACAAAGCCCAGGAAGGAGATATCTAAATAGTGCCTGGATTTTGTTTTCACATTGACTATTTACTAGTTTTCTAATAAGGAAAAAAAAAAGTATTTTTATTTCAGAAAAAGTAAATGAATTTCAAGGATACTTTTGGAGGAATCATGCATTAGATAAGAGACTGGACCAAGTCACATTTAAGATCTCTGAATGACTAAAATTTAAAGAGTAGACTTCAGTTATCTGGAAAATTCACTTCTGCTAAATACCTCATTCCTCAGTGATGCTCAATAAAAGGTACTATAGATCACAAAATACCATGGGCCATAGTGGAGGCTCAATTTCATGGAATTTCCATGGAATCACATAAAACTTCTCTACTCAATATAGAAGAGACTAGTAAACCCCCAAATGTTGTTTAGTTTCAATTCCAAAACTGTAGATAAAAGCCCCGTTACTTTCTACAAATGTACACAGTGAGCCGAGGCTTTTCTTGGTTCTCCGAGACCATGAAGTTTTGAGACAAAAGAGTCTGGAAATAAAGGCAAAAAGAGATCTAGAGCTGAAACCACAGAGACACTTTATGAGCAGAATATTCTGGAAGTCCAAAGGAATAAGTTCCTAAGTGCAGCCTCCACTGATAAGTGATAATAATGAAAATACACATGATGTGTTTGAAAGCCTGGATATTATAGACCCTCTTTTCAGGAGGACAAGGCATGGTTATTGATGATGGTTTTTCACTGAGGTATCTTTTCTCCGGACTAGCCTCCCTCTTAACTAACAAATTCCATTCAGAAAACCATGCAGCAGTTAGAGGTATAGCTAACGATTCCACAGGACAAGTGCCTCCCAGAGAGATGAAGACTATAACTCTGGCTTCATTAATACTATTTAATCAGCCAAACCAAAAAGGTATCAGGTAGATGTATACCACCAACCTCATACACACTAGCATTTGACTCGTGTTGGAGGAAATTGTAACACTCAGTATATCTTGGTGACTCATCTTGCTGATTATGCAAAGGTATCTCCCCTATCAGGTAAGAATGTAATCAATCTTGCCAGTACTTAAAAAATAACTAACATATTGGTATAAAAACTATTTTGTCTTAATTTTCATAGTTGAAATATTCATGTGGTATGACTAAAATCTAAAAAATAACTTAATGTATGTATCTATTTTTCAGAATACTTTGACTTTTCCTAATGTATTTTTCATAAATTTTTTCTTTTTATCAAACCAAGGTCCAAAGAACAATTGTCAGCATGAAGTAAGCAAATACTCCATGAATACAGTCCTGATCTATATCCCCACCCACACCCAACCCCTCAATTCCTTTAATGTCCTGTTTTATAGACTTTGATTAATAAAGGTGAAAATCTGATAAACTTCTCTCTTGTTCAAAGTTGAACCACTATCAGAATAGGTAACTATGATAAATTATGTATTGGAAATGTGTGGGAGTTCGGTTTTTAAAAAGGAAGTAGCAATTCAAAATTGTCAAGGACAACTGTTTAGCCAGGTATTTTTATACAGATGAATGAGAATGAATTCAGAGAAGGCCTACATCATTCCACACCCTTAAGAGTTTTTAATTGGCAAGTTTCCAATGCTTTGTTATCACAAGCAAATAGAAACCCTAATTATGATGGCTATATCAAATCCACTGAAATGCTGGGGGAAAAATAATTTAAATTCAATTCACATTTGTTGAATAGAAATCAAGACAGCCATCAACAACAATATTCACTATTTTTGGAATTTAAAGTACAAATTCATTATGATTTGCAGGAAGATTTTTTTTTTTCAGAACTCATTCCTCAGTTTGTGGTTCTATGCTTTCTTAGACAACACTGGGATGAGCTTTGTCATCTCACAAAACTAAGACTCTAAAATAGCCTGAAATCTTTAGAAAGCTGGTTCTGGTAGAATAAAAAATGTGCTTTACCTACAAGGGAGCTATTTTTTCCCCATTTTAGACATGCAATTTTCACAAAGTTGATGCTTCTCTTCAGTTAGTTTGCTTTAAATAAGGTTCATCTTTTTAATTCTGAAAAACTTGTGAGGAGTCAAGGTATAACTAAAGTCTAAATTTTGCTTTAGTATATTCTGTCTTTGAAATAAATTATTAAAGCGCCTCTTCTCTTGCTTTATCTGCCTTTTTTTTCTACTTTTGATGAAGGGTTCATGTGCGCGAACACACACACACACACGCAAATAAGTAACACCTAGACTGAACTTACTAACATCTTCCAGCTACAAACTAATTCTGACAACACCTCCTTTTGAAAAAGGTATAGCTATGAATGTAGGAAATTAAAGTTGCACATACCACAGAGAAAGGTAAACAGATCAAATTAGGAAAAGTATGTATCTATGTTCAAAGATGATACTGCCATACTTTGGTGTGAAACAAATTATACCTGGCCAGATACCTGCAAATAAGTCTCCTCAATATGCACACACAATAGTGAGTTTGATGGAAATGAATGGATTAATCTGAAAAGCTTCATATAATAATTATAAGCCAAGTTCCTAAAGAGTGGGTAGAGCCTGGGCAATATAAAAAGACATATGGAGAACTAAAATGGCATTTGAATAGAGATAGGAAAAATTCTGTTTTATAACACACTTCTTTTCATTCAACACTATAATGAACATTTTTCTATGTCAGTAATATTAATATATAATAGAGGAAGATTGGCACAGATGTTAGCTCAGCAACAGTCTTCCTCAATCAAAAAATGAGGAAGACTGGCAACAGATGTTAGCTGAGGGCTAACAAAAAAAAAAAACACGCTGGACTCCTGACTCAAACTCAGCACTCTTACCACTATAACACCACACATCAAGAAAGACTATTATCTTACATTTGTATAGCACTCTATAATTTACAAAGTGTTTTCACATACATTATTTCACTAGATACTCATAACAACCTATGATTTAGACAGGGCAGGTATCATCATCACTTTACCGATGAGTACATGTAAATAGAGAAAGATAACTGATGCAAATACTTAAAATCCTCAAGGACCTAAATTTCACCTGTTGGATTACAGGAAAACTTTAAGGTGGGAAGTGAGATTCAAGTGATTAACTTGGGACTACCACAGCTGCTATATGCATGTATGTATGTATGTAATGAGGGGAGAAACAGGCTATAAACAGAAGTGGTTTGGGTAGGTTTCAGAGCCACCATTTTGCATAACTCTATGTCATAATTTTTGTGACTACTGTCCCCTGGAGTTGTGTAAGACAACAAACAGCCTTGGATGAAATAAAGTAGGAGTCTCTAACCTGCAGATCAGGATCTACTGGTAAATCTAGAAACCTCACTTCATGGAACTCCAAGCTGGTTCCCAATAACGTCTAAACATATTATAAATATCAAAGTCTGGCCAAGTTCAAAGATGTGCTTACTGTAAAGATGAAAAAACATACACGGACCATTTCTTTTCTCTTCTTGGGAGACTCTGAGAAGACAAATAAAATCAGATTAATATCTTTTTTTTTTTTGCTGAGGAAGATTCGCCCTGAGTTAACATCCGTACCAATCTTCTTCTATTTTTTAGTATGTGGGCCACCAGCACAGCATGGCTGCTAACAGAGCAGTGTAGGTCCACGCCTGGGAACCCCGCCCAGGCCGCCAAAGCAGAGTGTGCCGAACTTAACCACTAGGCCACCAGGGCTGGCTCAGACTAACACCATTTTAAACATTAGGTCTTTCAGCAAATCTTTTTGTTGTTAGTGCCAGTGAGTCGATTCCAACTCCTGGCAACCCTGTGTACAACAAATCAGAACCCTGCCAGGTTTTTGTACCTTTCTCTCAACTTCTGGTGCTATATCAGACAATGCTCTGCTGCTATTCACAGAGTTTTCATGGCCAATTTTTTCAGAAGTAGATGGCCAGGTCCTTCTTCCTAGCCTGTCTTAGTCTGGAAGCTCCACTTAAACCTGTCCACCATGGGTGACCCTGCTGGTATCTGAAATACCGGTGGCATAGCTTTCAGCATCACAGCAAGAGGAGCCGCCACAATATGACAACTGACAGACCAGTGGTGTGGTTCCCTGACCAGGAAATGAACTTGGGCCATGGTGGTAAGAGCACTGAATCTTAACCACTAGACCACCAGGGCTGGAACATATCTTTAAATAATGTAATTAGCTAAAAACAAAACTAAAAACAAAAACAAAACTTTTAAATTTAGTTTGAAAGTACCAAGGAAATTTTGAGCTACATACTTTATAATTTTTAATCATCAAATCAATTTGCTCATTCATACTTTCAAAGAAGATAAATGAGTGTTTCCCTCTTTAGGACACACAATGAACTTAATTCCAATAGACCTAATTTTGTTCAAATGTCTATGTACTTTAAAAAATACAGTTCCTGGGGCCGGCCCAGCAGCGTAGTAGTTAAGTTCGCACACTCTGCTTCTGATGGCCCGAGGTTTGCAAGTTCAGATCCTGGGCGCAGACCTACATACTGCTTGTCAAGCCACACTGTAGCAGGCGTCACACATAAAGTGGGGGAAGATGGGCATGGATGTTAGCCCAGGGCTAATCTTCCTCAGCAAAAAAGAGGTGGATTGGTAACAAGTGTTAGCTTAGAGCTAATCTT